CCTTTGCTCTGCAGATTGTTCATATTTTCGACTACCTTAAATGGATAGAGAAAACTCATTAAAAGTTATTAAATAATAGTTTGATAACAAAGAGACCGCTGACGTCAAGTCGCCACTGTGGCAGCTCATATCACCAGGCCACCACCTGCGGTTAGCGCGTCTACGCGCAGAGATATGAACGCGCAAGAGAGCGACTTAAAAATCAATACGTCGTTTTGAAAAAAATATTTACACTTGCCGGCGCTTACACCACTTAGACCACTGGCGTATCTCCTACAGCGCACACCTGACCACCGAGCGTAGTTTTTTTTGTTGTTGTAGTGGGCGCACCGGTGGCTCCCAATTTAGTGCACAAGTACAATTCTCAGCGCATCCTCCTTTTCGATAATTTACATGATTTTTATTTTCATATTTACTTTAATAATCTTCTACTTTTCAATACGATTAATTACAAAATTAATAAATGACACGGCGGTTATGCCTTTGTTAGAGAGCCGCCACAGCGGTAGACACACACCGTTCGTTTACTTAGCGTTTGTTGCGCGATCAATGAATGCGCCTCAAAATGCTTTCCAATATTATGTCCGCTTTTTACACGAATATTAACATAACTGTGGTACATAAGTATATGCACATTATTTCTTAATTTCTTTTGTTGTACTGTATATGCCGCTTCGATAGCGAATACAAACGAGCCGTTAGGTAACTAAAATTAACAATTTGTTTCCTAACTTTTTTTGTTCTCTTTCAATATTCATATTTTTTTTCAATTTAGTGATTTTTTTTTAATCCAGCTGATCTGAAAATAACTCAGCGCATCTCATAATATTGGGCTCTATTTGTGGCGCCTCATCGTTTATGCATTATTCCTCATATTTTCGCTTCATCGAGTTTAATTTACCTCACATATAAATATTCTTTATTTAAAACAACTTTCACAAAAACTGTGGAACCAATATAGATCAATTTCTCTTTTATACCATTCACGAGCTTTTAAGCGTGCTATTATTTTATCATAAAAAGTTAAGAGTGAAAATATACACATGTATGTACATAATCAAGATAGTGTCCTTTGTAAAATTAGAATAGTTTGTGGTACATCGGTTTTAATCAATTAGGCGAAAATGGTAAGTCATGATTGTTTGAACAGGGTATATTAAGTTTTCGACGAGGTTTTTAACAACCAGTAGAAAACGTAGGAGACCTTATAAAATATACTTATAGTATATGGTATATACGAGCAGCGTGACGAGCTGAGTTGATTTAGCCATATCCATATATCCGTCTGTCTGTATATACGCGAATTAGTCCCTCAGTTTTTGAGACATCGCTCTGAAATTTTGCGCACATCCTTTTCTTTTCAAGAAGCTGCTCATTTTTCTGAAGCGCCGATATCGAACTCCTATACCATACAGCTGCCAAACAAGCTGATCGAACACAATTAAGATACAGATTTTGTATACCCTTTCTTGCTACTATAAAAAATACAACTTTCAATTATATTACAGCTTCGGTACAGCCGAAGTTAACGTTTTTTCTTGATATTACTGCAAGTAATGCAATTATTTGCATGAATTCTAGCAATTCATTTTGCGGAAAAGTACGTTGCATCTACATTTTCGTAACTGGCATGTATTGAAAATAATCTATTGCTCATTGAAGTGAATCACAATTTTTTACTTGAAGCTGACGCTAAAGATTGAGTAATAATTTTATGTTATATTCCTGAAAGCCAAATAATTTGAAATTGATTTTCGCTCACATATACATATACGAGTATATAAAAACAGCTTATGAAACTAAATTTATAATAAAAGAGATAAATTAGAAAGGATTTTTTTTTACTTTTTAAATATGAAAAAATCGAAATCTGTCTAAATCGAAAAATAAAACTAGAGGTCTGTCAGTGGTATTCAAAGTAATTTGCACTTTGCAATTCCAAAACTCAAAAATATATTTTCATGCAGAGTGTTGGCTACTACAACCTTAAAACTTTTTCAAGAATACTGAAAATTCCATAAATTTAAGTACAGCCGTTGGAGAAAGCACTCTGTAGATAGATTCTTTGAAGTCAGCTAATGAGCCTGTCATTAATTACAACATTTCAATTTCAAGTTACAAATTCAAAAGAAAAACCACTTTCATACTAATATAGTTTTTGCAACGTGTGCAATCTTAAACAACACTGACTATTTTAAATTGTAAGAAATCATCTCCCTTTGAAGCTCTTAATATGGTCCAAAGAGTGTAAAAAACATGTTAATTTCAGTTTGTCTGGGTAATTTATCATTTCAATTCGACTGCGATCAAGCTCGTCCGCCAACTATCTTCTTAAAAGCTAAAAACATAAGTATACACGCAAGATAAATGATGAGAAAAAATTAAATCATCAAAACACGCCATCAAAAAATTACTAAATCTTTAACTTCGAATTCGAATTGACCCATACCTCCTATATAGTCGCATATATACATATATGCATGTGTATACGCTTACTTGGTTTTGTTGTTTTAAGTGTATCTACTTTCTGAGATGCTTTGTTTGTTGGCGCGGTTAAACGCTTTAATTAAAACCAATGCGCATGTGTAACTTCACTCGTTATAAGCTACGTTTAATTTTTGTGGCTTCAAGCTAAAATCCATTTGTATGCATGTTTGTTTGTATGTACACGTTTTCACATTTTCATATTTTTTTCCCAGTACTAATATACTTTGTTGTCTCTGTTATATGTAGTGGCTTGATCCTAGTCAAAGCTGGCGTTGCTTTGAACTTGGCCGCCTCGATTGCTAAATGATTGATGTGGTATTAATTTTAATGTATGGTATCTATGCTGCAGCGCCTACAAACGCGTACCGGTATGCTTGATGTAACTCTTTACTATGTTCATCCAAATATATGCATATATATGTAGATATGTTTATGTACAACTTTAGGCCACTACTAATAGGCCAGATTTTGTGAAATATTTCTTGTTAAAAGTATTTTCGCCACAATTTGACTGGAAGCTTACAAGTCTTTTAGTAGCGTGTAAAGCGCCTGCAGGCTTTTTACACATGACTTTGTCCAGCTCCAAACACAACACACCGCTTACCTGCGCTAGGCTATACAAGTATGTACATGGAACAGACACTGGTTCGTTCTATTCACTACTGATTCCTCTGAAGTGGCAACTGGCAGTTCTCTACTAATTTGCATACTCGATACTTGCGTGTTAGCGTTAGAGCATCTGGCGGCGAAGCTACATATATGCATACATACATATACCACCTATAGCTGTTTGTAGATGTTATTTCATTGTTGTGGCATTTTCGAACTCAATACCTTCACTTAGCCCATTTCTTATAATATTTTCCGTCTTTTGCTTTCAAGTCATATTTAAAATTTAATTAGCCCGTTGTCATAAGCGCTATTAATATTACTTTAGCTCACCAAGCTTACCTATTTGCCTTCAAAGCTAATCATGACTTATTGGTGTTATAGTTTCTCCGATTAGTTATTTCCATTCCCCTCATGTCCTCCGTAAACGCAATCCTAAGGTTAAATTACTCTATGTAAAAATATATATATTGTATATATATATTCATATTCATATATATACAATACATTGTAATAGTGAGTTGCGGCATACAGCCTATAATAAACGCTAGTCGCATTTACACACTTATATACGATATATATTTTCACACTACCTTTTTATTAATATTCCCCAAAAGCCACATAAACTGCAATCTGCTAATCGATTTTTTTAAATACATACTCCGCTCATTAATTAGCGCGATCCGCAAGTGTGGGATCTATATTTATAGTAAAAACATTTTTCGTTATTTAAGCACGCATACTTTCATTATGTAATTAAAATAACTACAAAAACCATATAACACTATGAGCGATGAGTTTTGCTAAAAATCAGAGCATACCGCTTCCAAACCTAGTATTAGCGCTGTAATATCCGTTTCAGTGAAATGCTTCGAGCTATTCAAACTTAATGACTTCTTTACAAACGTATGATTTCGAAATCTTTAGCGGAAACATGAAAAGCTTGTTGTTAGTTCCATTCTTCAAGCAAATATTTAATGGTTCAAAATTAACAGTTTTCACCACATGTACATTTAGGAAACCATCTGTGGAAGAAAAGTTACTTAATATGTATATTTCTCACCCATAAAGTAAGGATTTCTCTTTACTACACTCGACATTTGCTGGTTTAAAGAGGAGAGTACATTTGAGAAAATGGTTTAGTGTGCTGTGTAACTAGAAAAACTCCTAGGTCTCAAAATATGTATATGTAAAAACAAAACCATTGCAATTTCAAATGTTTCTCTTCGGGAAAGCAAAAATTTATGTAAAATTTTAGCTTCCAGAGTCAATTTTAGGTCCACAGATTTTATAATGTAAAATATCGTCCCAGTTATGAACTGTTTCCTAATGCCCGAGACATTTTTTTTTAGCTTTTCTTATAAAGAAAATTATTTCGAAAAAAAAATATTGGTCGTATTTATGTCCATAATTTCGTTTTACTCATTAAGTAGCAAGAAAAATTACTCGGTACAATCATTGAGCATGTTCTGAAGTTTGCTTTATCTTTCCGCAAAACATCTATAAACATCTTTTAATCCGTTTCTGAGTCGCTCTGTTGCGATTTTTTGTTTTTTAATTATATTTTTTATAGAGATTTCATTTGATTCCAAGAATTCCAATTTATATACATATATATTTTTTAATATTTAATATTTAGATCAATTAGCTTCGTTTAAAGATAGGTTAGATAAGAATAATTTGTTACTTATAGCAGCTTATCCCGAAAGAAGTGGTACAATCCTTTTGCTATCAAAATAATATTTGAATGATTGCTTCTGAAAAACGTAATATATGTGACCCATAACCGCAAAAACTGGTGTATGCGTATAATTTAAAACCTAACCCAACAATTTTGTTTATCTATATGAGAGAGCTATGTATATGCCCCTAAAAATCTTATCGAAACAGCTTCAATTACTTACCGGATTAACTTGCGGCTTTTGCAGATGCGTGGCGATATTACCGATATTCATGCCCATGGTGGGTATTTGTGAGCCGTACAACTGTCCGGCCGTCGGTGTCATGTCCGTTAACATTTTAGTTGCGTTCTGCTGACTGCAGCGATAATCGGTGACAATTGGCTTTGTTTGATTATTTAGCTGTTATTTAATATTTCCTTTTGCAACATACACTGAAATGCAGAATTTGTTATGACAAATTTGTTTGAGTTGCACTACAGTTGCGGAGGATTATTTGAATGCTTTGAGGGTACCGAAATCAATCGTTTTTGTTATTTCTTTTATTTTTTGAGAGAGTTGAGGAAGTTGTCACATGTCATGAGTGATAAAGCAACACGCCAGCAATACGATCATCAATCATACTTTTCACTTACAAGGGAATTCTGACTTTTGTTTTCTTTTTGTATTTGCAAAATTTTTCACATTATCACTTTACTTTATCTGCTGTTCTGAAGGTTCGCACGAGTTTTCCTATTCGTGTTATCTAAAACTTTCTTTGCCAGTATTTGTGCTGATTTGAATATTGAATATTTTTACACAGTTACATATATAATTGTTTGAAATTCTTTTTGTGGACTATGTTTCCATATGTTTCTCCTGGATGTTATTTTTTTTTTTTTTACTTATTACACAGATTTTTAAAAACTTTCCATTTCCTCTTTCACAACAATCCGTCTAAGTTAGGTTGCACAATAACACACCGTCGCACAATAACACAATGCAAATGGAGTTTCCTTTCTACTACAACTATTAACAATGCAAAACAAGAAATGCTTCCGATTGCGAATTGTAAGTTTTGTTGTCCTTTTCGTAATTTTTGCCAGTGGACTGGGCAGTTGTCTCTTATTGTGTTACTTTAATAATATTTTTTTTTATAAATAAAAAAATCCCTATTGTGCTGATGAGCCCTCGCTTATTGCCTTTTAGTGCCGCTATTGTGTCCCTGTCCGTCTGTTAATCCGACAAAAAGTGTCAAACCGTTGACAGGTAGTTGAATTGTGGTGCGCAGCGTGGCGCCTTCTTCCCATAAGCGAAGTGGCTTGATGCGTGTGAATACCTATTGTGTTGGCTTATCAACGCAGGATCTTTACAGGCGATTTATTGATGATTTCCAATGGCCATGCGCATTCAGCTGAGAGATACTTTTAGGTATAATTGTTGATAAAATTCGAACTTTGCAGATTTTCCGAAAAATATTTTTTCAAATTCACGATTTGATTTTTTATTAAAACTTTAGTTCCTTTCACGCGTTAGATGACGGTCAATAGCTTTTTGCGAAATTCGTACGCAGCTCGCTATTTGCTTGGTGTGTTCAAGCCGTCCCAACAACTGTCACTAGCACTGCTGCGGCTGCCATTCGAACGCGTATACCAACTAGCTACACCGGCCGGCCCACTGTGAACGTAGGGCGCTTGTTTTCTTTTTTTTTTTACTTATATTACCTTTTACTTTACTATATTTCTTTTGCTTTTAACGACGTTGTTTTTGTTTACGCCTTTATCTGAGATAAGTTGTTGGAAATCCACTTGCGCGTTGTTAATTCGCAAAAAGAATCCGCGCAAATATAAACGGGCGTCGTATCTGTACGTACAAATGCTGGTGACTGTTCTGCCCGCTGCGGCACAAGCGAAAAAAGCTCTCTAAAGTCACAAACACAAAGGCAGCACATAATAAAACACAAAGTAATGAACATAAATAAACACACACACATACACTTTGTAACGATAGCTAACGCTGGCACCCCAACGAACGAATGTTGCGCAAATGAAACAACAAATGGCACAGCCAACGCCAATGAGCCAACCAAACGGATAAGCAACAGGGAGGAAAACAAAACTTCATAAACAGTAGATAGGCGTAGTATGTGTATATTTGTTATTTTTTTTTTTGCTGTTGTACTGTGTATCTACGGCTTAAGCACACAACAAACAGTCATTGTTGATGGTTACGCTTGTCGTTCACTCGCTATGCGCTCTATGCTCTACAATGTATTGTGTCGGCGCGTATCGGATTTGAATAGCGCGCTGCTACACTGCCAAGAAACCGGTGCTCGCTACTACTACCGAGCGAAAATCGCTTCGACCAGTCAAGCAATACGCAAACACAATAGAAGTAATGCAGGAGATAGCTGTAGCTGGTAGTGGTGGTGGCGTTTGATGAAGCATGGCAGCAGGCGGCTGGTTGGCAAAAGTGGTTGGGACGCATCCAGCCATTCATCAGCTCACACACAAAGGCAAATATGTACACATGCATAAGTATATATAGTATGCAGTAGCGCCACTGCTGATATAGAGATAGAGAGCGCGCACTCACGGAGAGACTACAAAAACAACTGACTACTGCATCACGGTTGACAAACTAAGAAAAATTTTTACATTGCGAGCATTAATATTATTGTTTGAAATTTTTTTGTTTTTTCGCAAATTTCAAACTTTACTAATAACGAATGCGAGTTTGAGTTTGCCAAATATTTTATTAATGCATCTTTATAACTAAATGCTTAAAAATAAAAATAATGGAATATACATACATACATATGTAGTTTAATACCAATAAATAAAAAATGGTACTCAATATTTTTAAAAAAGTCCGAACGCACCTATGTATATTTAGTGTATATAGATATGTATCTGTGGATTATATGTTAGAAATGATTTTATGCTTACATACGTATATGTATAAATGTTAATATCAAAAAAAAAATTCTTACTAACGTAATGAACGGGTCACACACATATCGAAAACTTGCGACCCCAGGTGATGAAATAATAATTTTTAATTAATCAAGTATGTTTGTATGCACCGACCGTATGTTTGTATGTTTCTAAGATCTTTCAACATAATAAAAACATTAATTTGAATTTTAAATAAAGAAAAAACAGTTTATATATTTATCTGCAAGTACATACTTACAGCTATAGGCTAAAAAATTACACAGAAATTTACAAATATGTATTTTTATATTAATTGAAATTTTCATTTTTGCACTTATAAATCAACGGCTGCCGCTCAAACTCTCACAACCAGTTTTTCAAACGACATCCTTCATGCTAGTTTCCGATTTTCCAAAAAAGTACTCAGAGAAATTGTTCAGCCAAGCATTCATTCATAAAATTGAGTAGCAGGCTTCTTTCATTTCCCCTCCAAAATCACTCCTTTCAGTGCAAGTGTATTGGTGCCGCACTTTTTCTATGTAGTGGTATGAAAACAAGCTATCCCAATTAATTAGAAGCAATTTTCAGACACATCATGCTATCTCCCTTTCTCGCTGTTAGCATAAAGCAGCACTCAAACCCAAACTAATTTACATCGCCTTCTTGCCTTCTCACTTCAACCTGTTTCAATACTGCAACGACTTATTGTGCGAACCATCCACCAATTGGCTGCTTGTTTTATTCCAAACCAAGCGTTAACCTATAATTAGTGCGATGGCCGCTGCGTAAAAGAGATAGCAGATATGAGAACCCAATACGATATTTCCCTTCAACGCATTTGAGGGAAAAATAAAAGAGCATCGACAATGGTCGTGTGCCGTAGTGTATTTTTTATAATCCAAAAATATGCTATTTTATATACAAACTTATGTATAAATATATGGACATACATAGTATATGCGAAGCTTACTTTACATTGCAGTATACTGTAAATTTCTCAATTTGTTTACGTATAAACACTTTGTACTGAGTACACTCATATTTATGGCAACACTTGCGGTGTTGAGTAAAGGAATTCTTGCGGGAATTTTATATATTTATATACACGTGTTTACTATAATACCTTTTTTTTATTCTTACATCTTTTGAAAATGGCAAGGTCGTTTTTATACAATACAATAAGTACGTTACGTTTCATAACTAATTAATCGTTTAACTACATTAAATTTGCCAACACTAACCCAGTTTTTTAATTTAAAAATAAATATAGTCAATTCAAAGATTAGATTTTTATACCCTAAATAAGGTGAATTAAGTGTTTCACGAGTTTGGTAATCCCCAGAATGAAACGTCGGAGACCCTATTAAATAAATACATATGTACCTTAACGATCGGCGTGACGAGCAGAGTTGATTTAGCCATGTCCGTCTGTTCATCCGTCCGTCCGTTTGTATGTATATACGTGAACTACTGCTTCGGTTTTGAGATATCAATTTAAAAATTTGCACACGCATTTTTCTCTCCAAAAAGCTGCTCATTTGTCGGAATATCGGACCGCTATAGCATACAGCTTGAATAGAAAACTTTTTCATTTGACGAGATATCTTCATGGAATTTGGCAGTAGTTATTATCCAAGGCAATATTTCAATCTCCAAAGAAGTTGTTCAGATCTGATCACTATAGGCTATAGCTGCCATCCAGATCGGATCCAGTTCTTTTAAGGAATATTTTGTATTTTTGAAGGGTATTTTAGCTTCAGTGTAACCAAAGTTAACGTTTTTTCTTGTTTTTTTTTGGAACTAGATTGTAATTATAAAGGTCTATGTGTATTTGCTGACAATAGAATTTTAACAATATGATATAAGATTTTATGAAAATTTTCTGGTGTTATGTTAAAAAAAAAACATCTAACAAACAAAAAAACTTATTTGCCTGCAAAATTTAAATTATAACTAAATGAGCTCACAACCTACTCAATAGTCTGTTTTCTCAGGCGACTTTTAGTCTACGCACAGTCACTCTTTTATGGTATCTGAGAATCTACCATCTAAAATTAATTAACTAGTTATACTTTAACTGATATATTATTTTTAAGATATCTATAGATTTTTTTCTTAAAAGTCACGAATATGCAAAATTCATGCACCAAAAAAATAAATAAATTATTAACTTCGTAACGTGGCAAAAATATTAGGTTCGCTGTGATGAAACTGTGATAAATACAACGCAAAAAAAACGCATAAAAGAAAGTGTTTTCAGAGCAAATCACGCCAATCAATCCCTTGCACCAGCGCAAGCATAAAGCAGCACCTCATTCAATTCAACTCCCCGCAACCACACAATTGAAAGCAAGGCAATTGTCAGTTGAGTAACTCATTCACTCCCCACTCACTCAGAATGCACGACAGCAATGGCGAAGGAATAAAACTCTCGGTCACGTCAGGTTAGAAGTGTAGCGCCAGCACAGAACCCTCAAAGCAACGCAACTACGCCCAAATGGCACTCCTTTACCTCCACCTCCAACAACATTGCCATCATCGTCATCATGGTCGCGGCCGCTGCCATCGTCTACACCATCTCCGACGCGGCTACCAACGCCTGACTGCTCAGACGAATTGAATGGGCTGCTGAGCTGGGTTGAAAATGCATGGCAAGGCCACAGCCGCCCCCAGAGCGAAATACCGCATTATTCTACATATATACTTATTTACATACTTACATACTTACTTATGACTATATGTACATACATAATTCGTACAATATAGTATGTGCTTTAAGGAGCGTGTGCGCGTTCGCTCCCACAGAACCTACAGGTTGCGAGGTTGGCCGAGTGGGCGTAGTTTGCGTGTCCGCTAGAATTCCCCGCAGTGACTGTTATGTATATGCTATGTCTATGCTGATTTGTTCTCGTGCTCGATGAATGCTGTTTTAGCTAATCTACTGTGGTGCACGCGCTGTTATGGCATGTGGCATGCCAGGGGTGAAAAAAACACTACAGATGGAAAAGGAATAAAATACTGAAACTTTTTGAACGACGCTGACGGATGATGGGATAGAAAAAGTACCAAAAACACCGTTGGTTTTCTATTACCTAAACACATAAGCAGCAGGAGTGCTGCCATGTGGTGGAATTCCACGCTGCTGCATCGCCCGTCGTGTTTTAGACGCTCTCCTGACATGCGTCAAAATATTGTTGTAGTCGCGGCGCAAAAAAGTAGTAAACTGTAAATTCCAGCGGTATAAAAGACATAAACATGTACGTATGTACATATATGAGCCCATGAAACCACATGCATATATTGATATGCCAATAAGTACATATAATATTTTTGATACGACACATATGCACATTAGGGTGTACGATAGTACATCTGTTTACTAAAAAGCTTGCATAATTTTACTTTGAAGTTTTCCATGAAGTTTGCAACACTTAATAGCATACGTCGGATATCCTTTAAAATGTATATATAGATGTTTAGTGTAACGAGCTGAGTCGATTTTGACATGTCCGTCCGTCTGCCTGTCTATCCGTCTGTGTACCTCGCTTTTCCTCAATTTTTGTGATATCGCTCTGAAATTTTTCACACGTAACATAATTTTTCGAAGAAAATCACACTTTATGGATCCCAGAAAATGACCTTTCTAGTCAGACAAGTTACGTTTTCTTTCAGATGATGTCCACTACGTCTGTTGTTTCTTTCCTCTTATGAGAACCGGTAGATCCATGATTCGTCGACTGTCCAATAAAAATCCATGCAAAATATTTTATGCAAGATATTAACCTGCAAGCACTTTTGGTATGCCTGATCTCTCAGATATCTCGCGCGCCTTCTCTCGGCAGTCGGTTTAGCATTTTACCATAAAGTCATATCTGAAAACAAATATATTAATATTTATTTCGATTAAGTTTTGTGAAACTCCAATCAGATTTGCTATTTCTAAGTGAGACTTATTCTATGTGTTCTTTATGTATTTTCCTGGTCTGTAAAAAATACCTTGGTATTGATTTTCGCTTGTCTGGAATAACTTATATTATTAAGCTTTTACTTTTCGGCGAAGTTTTATTTTGCATTAGAACAATTTTTTGGGAATTTTTCTACGGATTCGAAATTTGCTAAAAAAAAACATAAACGATATGCCTTAATGTATGGTACAAGTATATAAGTTAAGACGATATGGGTTTCCTTCATGTATTGTTATTAAAAATATTTCAAAGTGGGAGTGAACAATTGCTTATTGCATTTGCTTGGCTATATGCTAAAGGCTTTAAGTGCGCAACCAACGCAGTAACTCAAGACGTTGAGCACAGCGCAATGGGCGACACACCGACCCCTTTTCACGCAACCAATTTAACACATGCGGAGTGCGTTTCTATTGAAGCGTGTTTTAATTTTTCCAATTCATTCATACACTTCAATATTTTATTTATTCGAAGCACGCACTTTTCCAGAAGATCTCCAACTTTTATTGCCTCAGCATTTCTTATAATATAAGTGTATATACATATTTGGGTCTTACGAGTTAAGAATAGCCGACGTATTTGTCCACTCCAGTGGGTGCCAACCCATTCATTCGATTAGTTGGCAAATTGGGTGTTACCAATGGGTGTGCCATAGCATTGTAGTGGCTTTATGTGTATATACTATATGTGCAGAAGTATATTAACCCAAAACAATTGAAACGATTTCATTTCAATACCGCTCTGCTCTATTGAATCCATTATATTAGCAAATAATGCTTTTACTTAACTCCCGTTGTATATTC